AAAAAAAATATTTTGTTAAAAAAACGATTTTTGCAATTTTTTTAAAGTTTTACAAAAAGAAATTATAACATTTCCAAAAGAAAAAGAAATTTCTTTTTGTGAAACTTTAAAAAAATTGCAAAAATCATTTTTTTAACAAAATATTTTTTTTGTAAAAACTGAAAAAAAAATGTAAAAACAGAGGAATTAGAACACTTTCAGTTTTTAACAAAATATTTTCGTTTTTAAAAACAGAATAAAGTATTTTCAACAAATTATTTTCGCTTTTGAAAAATATTTTTTTTCTTCATTTTTCAGTTTTTTTTAAAGATTTTTTTTTTAAAAAATGGAAAAACAAATTTGTAAAAACTGTTTTTTTTTTGTAAAAACAGAAAAAAAATCATTTTTAACAAAATATTTTCGTTTTTTAAGAACTGAAGAAATTATTTTCAACAAAATATTTTCAGTTTTTACAAATATATTTTTACAAAAAAAAATATTTTGTTAAAAAACGAGGGTTATATATAGACCTTATCGTAAAGTCCAGGGGGGTATTTGGTTCCGTTTAAAGTCCAGGGGGGAGGGGGGGGGGGGCTATCCGGGCAATAGTGTAACGGCAAGGTTGGATATGGGCCAAACTTTTAACGAGGGTTATATATAGACCTTATCGTAAAGTTCAGGGGGTATTTGGACCTTTTCCGAAAAAAAAATCAAATAACCAAAATATTGAATATTTAATTGTGATGATAAGTTAATGTTGACTTGGACCCCACAATGATCTGGTATCAATTGCTTATTTTTCGAGAAAGTATTAATTGCTATTAATTGTGATCACAAGTTAATGTTTGTTCTAGATGAAGTAAAATAGAATGGTTATACTAACGTATTAATTGTGATGATTTAATATTTAATTCTAACTTGGACTTGACAAAAACAAATTACTTTACTTTATTTAAATTATCAAGTCTCCAAATTTGGCAAAAAATTACTTTATTTAGTATTGTGATGGGAATACTATTTTTGTTATGTAAACACAAGAGTTGTTGATTTAATGCATAAAAGGATGACGTTAATTCAGTGCTAAAATTAGCCCCTTCATACTTGGCTGGCGTAACAGTATGCAACATGGAATTGGTAAAAGAAGAAGGACCTAATCAATATATGGTTATCCATTCGGGGGCGGCCCGACGAGTTTTGTGGTCTAAAGTCAAATTTTACGAGGGGCCTTAACTTTTTTTAAATAAAATAATTATTTATTTATTTGAAGTATATTTTTATAGTGTTTCTTAGATACAAAGTTATTAATAATTTTCTTATAATCAATAACTCCTAATAAGTCTTTCTTAATTGACAATATAGCTAATTCATTTAACCTTTCTTGAGACATTATTGATCTTAAGTAAGATTTTATCAATTTTAATTTTGAAAATTTCTTTCCGCTGAAGCGATGGTAACATGAGTTATTAACATTATTCCATAAGTAATATATGCATTGAAAAAAGAATCAAATCTTTTTATTTGACCGAGTGTATCAATTAAACTATTATCTTCTAATTGTATTATTTTCCTTAATACTTTTAATTCCGAAAATAAATCTAAACCATATCAATACTGAATTGATTATTATCCTTGAAGGAACATTCAAGATTAAGGCAATATTTTTTCAAATTTCTATCATCTAGTGATCTAAATTTTTACGCTAAATACAAAACCAAAAATATTTTCATATGCTTCAAATTGTTCAAATCTATTTTGAATTGAAAAAAATAGCCTTGTCTACTATGTACAAAGTAATCAACTTCAAAGGACTCTTCGAAAGATTTTGAGATTTTATTATTAATATTCTTATCAAATTGTTACTTCCTATATATCATAGGTTTCCTATGAAATTCGGGTTCGATATTTATTTCAAGTGCAATTTTCTTGGCAGAAATCGTAGCAGTTGCACTTTCTTCTCTATACTTGTTAAAGAAAGAAATCAAACTTTTCACTTCACAGAACCTTTTTTAAAACTTATACATAGCCTATTAAGTGTAACACAAAATGGGGCACATACAAATGTGGAGCCTAAAGTAGTTGCTTTATTTGCTTTATGGAAGGCCGCCCCTTCCAATAATATTGCATTTATTATTAGCATTTATACATGTTAGTTGGACATCCTGAAAAGGAAAACTTATATTCTAATGTTTTCTGTCATTTTATCTTAAGGCTCTACTTTCCTTTCTTTAACCAAGCAAAGACAACTAGTCTTACTTGCTTTCTGTACAATTTCCAGTACAATGAGGCTTCTGTTACTGAACTCAATTATTGTTTTGTCCATAGCAATCTCAGGTTTGGAATCATCTATAGGAGAAACTGATCAACTAGCATTACATGACTTCAAAGGCAGAATAACTAAAGATCCAAACCAAATCATGACTTCTTGGAATCATTCTTTTCATTACTGCAACTGGACAGGTATAACATGTAATCCTTCCAATGGTAGAGTTACATTTCTTCATTTGAGTTCACAACAACTCGTTGGCACCATACCGCCTTCCATTGGCAATCTCAGTTCCCTTACAGGTATTCATCTTGGAAACAATAACTTTCATGGTGAAATTCCTCAAGAAATCGGTCGCTTACTGCAGCTGCAACATCTCAATCTCAGTCACAATTATTTTAGTGGAACAATTCCTACTAATTTAACTTACTGCAAGGAACTTTTAGAACTTCATCTACAATTTAATGATATGGTTGGGAAAATTGTGGATGAACTCAGTTCACTGTCAAAGCTGTATTTGTTAAAACTGAAAATGAACTCTTTCACAGGAGGCATCCCACATTGGATAGGAAACTTTTCGTCTTTAGAATTTCTTGACATTTCAGATAATAGACTACAAGGACCAATACCTCAGGATCTTGGCCGTCTAACGAATTTGTTAGTATTTCATGTGAACTCAAATGAATTATCTGGTACAATCCCTTCGTCGATTTTCAATATTTCTTCCATCTACTATTTCTCTGTTACTCAAAATAAACTGCATGGACAAATTCCAGCAGATGTAGGCCTCACTCTTCCAAACCTTGCAGTATTTGCTGGCGCTGTAAACAGCTTCACCGGACCTATTCCTGTTTCATTAGCAAATGCTTCTGACCTTAACGTGATTGATTTTTCCCAAAATAAACTAATTGGCGATGTGCCAACTAGTTTTGGAAAGTTGAAAACTTTGGTTAGGCTCAACTTTGAGCAGAACAGACTAGGTAGGAGGGGAAGCTATGAGGGTTTGAAATTTCTTGATTCCCTAAGCAATTGTACATATCTGAATGTACTGAGTTTTGCAACCAATTACTTTAGTGGAGAATTGCCTCACTCAATCACTAATCTTTCAACGTTACTTGAGATATTCTCTCTAGGTAACAATAGGATTCATGGTACTCTTCCTGCTGGTGTGAGCAATCTTATTAGTTTGACCTATCTTGGAATGGACGGAAACCTTCTAAATGGCAGTGTTCCTGAAGCTATAGGTAAACTTAAATATCTGCAAGGTCTCGATTTGAATGGAAATGCGTTTTCAGGGAAGATACCACTCACTATTGGTAACTTGACACGGTTAACAAGTCTAAACTTGCAAGAAAATAGACTAGAAAGAAGCATACCTCCAGAGCTGGGGAAGTGTAAGTCTTTGACGGCGCTAAACCTTAGCAGGAATAATCTTGTTGGATCCATACCGAAAGAGGTTGCAGGACTATCTTCCCTTTCAATTGCTTTATCATTGGAAAGTAATTCTTTAACTGGATCATTGCCAAAAGAACTTGGTCAGTTGATAAATCTCGAGGAATTGGATGTTTCACAGAACAAATTATCAGGTGAGATTCCAAGCACTCTCAGCAATTGCCTCCGCTTAGAGCGTGTAAATATTAGAAATAATCTCTTTCAAGGAACAATTCCTCAATCCTTTACAAATTTAAAAGGATTAGGTGAGGTAGATTTTTCACAGAATAACTTGTCAGGGAAAATACCAGAGTTTCTTGGAAAGCTTCCTTACCTCAGAAAACTCGACTTATCATTAAATGAACTTGAAGGTGAGGTGCCAACTGAAGGGATCTTTGCAAATACAAGCGCAATCTCGATCAATGGAAACAGTGATCTTTGTGGAGGTGTTCCCAAGTTAAAGTTGCCTAAATGCTCAAAAGCTACCAAGCACCTTGATTCAAGAGCTCCGGTAGCTATTATTGTTCCTGTTATATTAACAGTTTTAGTGCTGTGTTCCTGTGCTTCTTATTACAAGCTCAGAAAATCAAGAAAAGCGCACGCTTGGGATGATGGGGAATTATCAAAGATACCAAGAACTACATATCAAGAAATACATAGAGCAACCGGTGGCTTCTCTGAGGATAACTTGGTAGGTGCAGGAAGTTTTGGTTCAGTATACAAAGCGCATTTCCGAGGGGACAATACAATAATGGCAGTGAAAGTGTTGAACTTACAACAAAGAGGGGCTTTGAGGAGCTTCCTGGATGAATGCAAAGCCTTGAGAAATATAAGGCATCGTAATCTTCTCAGAATTAAAACTGCTTGTTCGAGCATTGATCATGAAGGTAATGACTTCAAATGCTTAGTTTTTGAGTTCATGGCTAACGAAAACCTACATGATTGGTTGCATCAAGAAAATGATGACCAGCAACAGCAAAGAAAGAAGCTAAGCTTTATCCAAAGACTAAACATTGCAATAGATGTTGCTTCCGCACTTGACTATCTCCACAACCAGTGCCAAACACCAATAGTTCATTGTGATCTAAAGCCAAGCAACATACTCCTCGATGAAGATATGTCTGCCCATGTTTGTGACTTTGGATTAGCAACTTTTCTCCTTGACACGTCGAGCAATTCTTGGAGTCATGAGATTTCTGCAGCACTAAAGGGTTCTATAGGTTACATCCCAACAGGTATGATGTCACTAGTTTACATTTTTTGTATACATGTGTGTGTGTATATATATGCGCATCATCCTAAAGAAAGTTGATTTAGTACCTTGCAGAGTATGGATCAGGTGGTCGAGTGTCCACACTTGGAGATGTTTACAGCTTTGGAATCGTGTTGCTAGAGTTGCTCATCTGCAGAAGACCAACTGACACGATGTTTAACGAGAATCTAAATATTCACAAGTATGTTTCAGTGGCTTTGCCTGAACATGTCATGGAAATTGTAGACCCTTTATTGCTCTTGGCAGAAGAAGAAGAACAAAACATCAATCAAGAGCAAGCAAGAAGAATGGAAGAATGTTTACTCTCGGTTTTTGAAATAGGGCTCACATGTTCTGCAACATCGCCAAGAGATAGAATGCCAATAAATGATGTTTTGAACGAACTTCAAGCAATCAAGAAGTCCTTCCTTTCAAGGAGATGATAACATGAACAAGATGATGAGTAGGCGACGGACTAATAACTGTTTATCTTCATGTTTCCTGCATTAAATCTTGTTTTGAATAAGAGAATGTTTCAGTGTGGTCTGTGGACTAGTATGCCCAGAATTAGTTTTATTTTTCTTGCAGTGGCTAATCAAAGTGAGCCCCCTTTCTATTAAAGTTCATCTCATGTTGTCATGTTTGATAGAGTTTACCCTATTAACCTAAAGTCGGCACGGCTAAATCTGTTAATATACCTAAATTATTCCTACTCAAACAGGCAAGAACAGAACAGTGTTATAACCGGGGCATTTGCATCTATACCCGCTTTTTGTGTCACATTTCAATTTGTGTCCGCTTTGCAAAAAAAATTGCAAGCGTACCCGCTTTTTCGCATAACTTCAGCACACGGGGCTGAAGTAGCAAAGGCAATCACGCAAAACTTAAGCATTCTAGTAGCCGGGTCTGAAGTTTAGCTCTAGAGCTGAAGTTTTTGTGTTGTAACTGAAAACTTCAGCTCTAGAGCTGAAGTTTTTGTAGAGCTGAAGTTTTCTTAAAAGAGATCATTTTTTCCTCTTCACGAGTTTGTATGTGATGTCGTTTTGAAGGAGGATTATACATCTGCAGCTGGTTCAAAGTAGAGAACTCATTCACTGAACCTTGATCTACTTCACTTCCAAGACTAGTACTGATTGAGTTATTTGTAGTAGTAACGTAAAATCCACAGAACTTGTTGTTGTTCACTTCTTGAACTTGAACATTATTGTTCTTGACACTGCAATTATTCATCCCAAAATTATTTCCAAGAAATGATGGGTCAGTAGTTGTGGTTGTTGCTCCTATCTGAGCAGCTTTTTGGAGCAAAACAGTAGCTGACATAGTTGCAGTAGAAGAAGGTGTAATTTGCTGATGAGATTGGTGTTGGGTACTAAACAATGAAGGAACGCTTATGTTTGCAGATGAGGTGTTTGTTGGGTACTAAACAACGAAAACAATTGGAACAAAACAAAGATACAAATCTAACTAATACCTCATCTTATCTTGTAGAGTATTCATTGTATTCTTAATAAAAACAACATCTCATACTTGTATTTATCACATAAAGATTAAAACTGGAAAAAAAAAGGTTAACTTTTGGACTAAAACTAATAACTGGAAAAAAAAGAAGAAGAAGAAGAAGAAAATGAAGGAGGAGAATGAGGATGAGAAAGGAGCTGAAGTTGTTTAAAAAGTGGGTACAAGTTAAAAATTTAAAAAAAAATAGGTATGGGTTAAATGGGGGCGACCAAATAGGGCGCCCCATGCAATTTTTACGTTATAACCAAATCTGCTGAATACGGTCTAGTTGGAAGTAGGAAACCCATAAACTCTGTAGACAAGTAGGATATCAGTACTAATTTTGGAATGACTAAATGTTATTACCAACTTTATATTACATGAGAAAGCTCAATAAAAATGGGCAGTCTCATCTCTGTATCAACAATACTACAGGATCAGATATACAGAGCCTATTTATCTTGGATTGGTATATGCACTGATAACAAGTTGAAATATGGTTAGAGATTGACTTCCGAATGGCTATTAAGGACCGGGTGAAGAATGAAAAACTTCCGCTAAAGCACACAGGGAAAAAATTTTGTGCATGCCATCATGAATCAAACCAGATTGAAACATTCAACTGCCGAAGTTCTACCGACGGATTCAGTTGAATTCAACTTCTTATGCGAATGGGCGAAGCTACACTATAGTTGACCACTCTTCGTCGGAAAATTACACTGCGGATATAGATAAAATATTAGGTTTTAGAGGTACATAACATATACTATTGAACACCCTTTGTCAGAGATTTTTTTTATTTCTTTTAAATTTGAACACCCTAAGAAAAATGCCTGGCTTCGCCACTACTTATGCGGAGTAAAAATTTATATGTAAATTCATTAAAATTGCAAAAATAGTAGATATGAACCCATAACTTTAAAAATATAATGGGTTAAATGATAAAAATCTTAAAAGTTAAACCCATAGAATTTAAATCTTGGATCCGCCTCTGCTGTCGAATTTTACCGACTTTGCTTCTATAACAATATTCTATAACGGTATTGTTCCTATGAATCTTGAAGAACATAAAGCTGTAAACTGGAAGCATATCCCCATTACGTTCTCCAGCAGGTAACGCGAAAAGGGAGACTGGGTATTTCTTTTGGGCTGCAGCTTTATTGTATAGTTGGGTCACCCGGTTAGCTGGGGAGAAATTCAAAAATAGCTAAAATTTACAAGTGGGTCATTCAAAAATAGCCACAATTCAAAAAGTAATCCAAATTTAGCTACTTTTCACGTAAAGATATATCTGAATGAAAACACTGTTTAAAATCCGAAAAATATTCTAGTATATTATAATGGAGTTCCAGTACAATATACCGATCCAGCATAATATGCTGGAAGTTCATACAGAGGTGCACCAATCTCCAGTATATTATGCTGGAACTTTCCGTGTTGCAGCAAAATAGTGACTATTTTTCAATGACTTTGCAAACGCTGGCTATTTTTGAATGATCAGTCCGAAAACTAGCTAGCCGTGCTATCTTTACGGTTAGCTGCCACCAAACCCGTTGGGTAATAGATGACATCAACTATATCTACATCGCTGCAATGAATTCGTATACACATCCAATCATTGAACTTATATTGTGTCTTTCCATCTTATTATGATTCAACCAGTTGTTGATCGTGTCTTCAGCTTTTAGCACTACTTCTATTTAAAGCGTTGAGATGGATATACCAGTAGATTTTGTGTTTACCTCTAAAAAATTGTAATTTCTTTAAAATGCTAATATGAACTCGCTTCTCCTTTTTTCCTTTTTGAGGAATTACGTTACAGAGTTTAACACACATCTTTATAGAATATTTAACATACAACTTGCTAATCTGTCTGAACCACGATTCTTACCTAGCTTCGCTAATCAACTTAGAGACGAAGATGAGTGCAATGAACGGTGTTACAGTGGACGCTTTTGGTCCGACTGTATGATAAATGTTTCTTCTGAGATTGTACATTAATTGAACATAGAATGACAAGGCCGCGAAACAAAGCAGGAAAACGAGAAGAACAAATATGAATTGCTGCTTAAAAAATGTGAAAAATTATAGTGCACAAATAGTATCCACACTTGCTGGAATGACAGCAAACTGTACATTTCAAATGTTTAAAAAAGAAAGAATTTTCATACAAACAAAGCGCCTAGTATGTGCAACCTACCTAAGCGCCTAGTATGTGCAACCTACCTAACCTTTAGTATTCCTCAATCAATAATGAGGATGATAAGAGACAATTGTTGGATCTGGATAGACAACGGGCAATTTTTCGATGTACATGAGAAGCCTCTTCATATTTTCCCTTGTTATTGCGGACAAGTCTTTGATATCACAAATGTTGGTGTAGATCCAAAGCTCTCCAGAATCCACCCTCTTGAGACTATCTCGACAGAAAGGGCATGACTGCGATCGGGCATGCCTGAAGCAATCATACAACATAGATATATTATTCAAGTAAAAAGAACTAATATAGAACACAGAAAATAGATACACTATTGTTTGCAGATGCAAGGGACCTATTATGAGAGCATAACACGATTTGTCCTGTTTTCTCTCGGAATCCCCTTATAGTCAGGTACTAAACAGACGACCTTCCAGAGAACAATCAAGAATAAATTCTCTTCACACTTTTTCTTCTGTTTGGGATGCTTCCATTGCCAGATTACCATTAAGACTAGGTAAAGGCCAGAAAATTTAACCTTACTAGAATCATCTGTTAAGACAAATTAAATCAAAATCAACAAAAGGTTTGTCTCACCAAGTAAATGCTTCACAAATTTTGTTTCTGTTGCTAATTGCAGGATCCATGATACAGCATTTGCAAAACCCTTCCACACTTGTCCAAAGTACTCCAAGAGTCAGTATTATTTATTTATTTTTAAACCAAATTTTTTCATTAAAATCTTTTACATTGCTGGACCACAAAAACTTATGGATAATGAAATTTCTGAGCATCCACATACATTATATGTGTCCATCATTAAACGAAGGTAGGTCAAGTAAAAATGTAGTATTCAATTCACACTCTCAACCAAAACAGAAAACATGCAATGATCTGGAAGTTGACACCACTTCAGTACTCCAAACTTCCTGAAAGTTCATTGTTCATTTTAGTTTCAGCCTCAGATGCATGACTAATATGTATGGTGTTAGCTACACGCAAAATCAAAAAGGAACAGTCACAAAGATTGTTTAAGCATACCACTTACTAAAACAAAGACATTATGCATGAACTAATAGAAAAATGGGAAATTCAACAAAATAACAAAACTTGGCTCACCAGTTTCTGTAGCACTTCATGCATAAAGAATGATTGCAGGACGGCAAAACAACCTTCGTATCCATCTCCATGCAGATACCACATTCTTCCTCCCTCTCCATTTCGATTTCAAACAGCTTACCTTTGTTCATCTCATCTCCTCTTCTGTATTTCGTTTCGCAGATCTCTCGCTGTTTCCTATCTTCAATGTCAGTAATTCCCCTTTGAAGTTGCAACAATGATGGAAATATCACACCTGTTCGATGACACAACTCAATGAACAACATTAACTTTTTAAAAAAAAAAACTAAAGAAACTGGAATTGCCTTACAAAGTATAAGGACGCACCATAGAACTGTTTAATACTAGCTTTTCTCTCACGAATATACATGCTAGTCTTACCATCCTCATAAGCCTGCAAGAAAACATCATATGCTAATTTTCATTGCCTAAAGATGAAAGACAACGCTAGTAATTGCGCAACAAGGAAAATAGAAAGATTATGACCTTATAGATAAGGATCCTAAGCAATCCAAGAGCACCAGCAAGGTGACAGTCAGACCACTGAACAAGAAACAGAAAAATATGAGCACAGGGACTGTACGATAGTCTCATCTGAAGGCTAGCACCGTCATATTCTCTTGGATAATCCGACGCCCTGTATATATCTCAAGAAAACCAGTCATGACCATATATGATAAGAAATCTTTTGCAATATTCAAGCAAAAAAGGCACAAATTGCTTATTTTTCAGATTTCAGAAGAACTAAGCTGTGGATCCCTGATACTACCAGAGCTAGTTCCAAAATTAGGAAAAATAAGGGAATAAGCTCATCAGAAGAAAAACGTACAGAGAATCATGCAATAATTAGGCAAAATAACTCTGAATTCCCAAATTAAGGGTTTTATTGTTTATGATACGCTATTTTGCAGAATAATAAACTGATAGGGAAGGTGGAACAATAAAGGTGAAGAAACAAAATCACAAATTAACATACAGAAAAGAACACCAATTTTGAGGTAATTACCTAGAAAATATTCAAATAATTCTACGATCAATGATCAAGAAGGTGTTAAAACTGTTAAAATCCACAACTTTTTGTCTATAAGGTCTGATTGGAAACAATAAATAAATAAAAATAAACTCTAGCATTCAAATAAAGAAGACGTACAGAGTATTGGCATGCTGAATATCAGCTTCAAGTGCTTTTAGTGAATCTTTAAAAGACTTCCTCATCACTCTACCAATATTCCCATTCAAAAACAAAAATCCAACGCACTTCCAATAAATATTTCTAATAATAATCCTTCAACCACTTAGCTTTTCTGATACAATTAAAAGACTCTGTTTTATTCTGTTTTCAGTGGAGAAACTTAAGGAGCAAAAACGTGAAGCGTTTTGTTTGGCAAAAGAATTCTAGAGAGTATTCGATCGACCCGATGTCAAGGTGGGGGCCCGGGAGGTGGGGTGGGGGGGGTGGGGCTCCCACTGATGCTGCTCACTCAAAGACTATCGCTTGCACCGCACGCTTCTTCCTGACTTTCAGCTTACTGAAATCTCGTAGGAGTATTAAAGTGTGATGATTTTTGTAGAAGAAGATTGATTTGTATCTTTACTTTACGAATTTACCCTTTTCTTTTAGGAGAATTAACTAAACCCTACAACTTTTTTCCATCTTAGGAGAGGTCAATAATTATCCCGCACCCACATAATATTTATATCAAATATTGTATCCGATTTCAATTTGAATGACTTAAATAATATTTATGATCTTAAATATATTATAATATTTATATACTTACAAAAATTCTAAAACTTATCATCTTAAATATGTAACGGAGATTTCCATCGTAATATCCGTCGGTCACGAATATTTCGGTCTTCTGTTATTTCGGTCTTATGTTGGTTACGCTGTCAATGTTCTCTCGAGCTCGTTCGGGGTCAGAGTCTATTCTAGAATCACGGATTCAATGTTCACGAGGATAGACATTCTGATATCGGGTTCTGACCCGATCATCAGTCCCTCAGTTCCGAGTCCGATCTACCATGTCGTAGACGAACTCAAGTTCTACCGTATAAGTAAATAAGTCTTAGAACCTGGCTATGCATTTTAAAATCGTGCGTATCTAAGCTCAAAACGAACAATATCACTAGTTGACTGGCTATAACAATTTTAATCAAGGTGTTGGTGTCTAAATGCTTACATAGAAATTGGGTTAAGCAATCCTTGTACGTCAAGTCAATAATTCTTTCTGGCATGTATTGGAGTGGCATGATAATTAATAGGGGAAAATGAGTTATCCCAAATCAACGACATTACGTTCTCTGAGTTATTTTTCCATCTCAGTACGTCGTTAGTAGTAGTCTTAATTTAGATGTAGTGGCTGAAAATAAAATAAAAAAAGTTTAGTGGTATACAGGGACTCCACGCTGCGATAGGCAGTAAGCTATTCGCAGCGCTGCGTTGGGTTTGAGCGCATCACGCTATTTACCGTGAAAATGGTAATAACAATTAAATTTAATTATGGAATTCTAAAAATACGTAATCTATTTTTATGTCGGTTGTTAAGCAGTTGATGCTATGTGAAAGACTTAGAAACAAGATTAGAGCTTGAGAGCAAGGTGATAATCGAACCGAATGGTTAATAATCGGGGCCTCGAGCTTGCTTATTCGGGGCTCCGAGGTCGAGTCTGAGGCTCGGCTGGGAGCTATCGAGGATAATCGATGGGCGACTAACAGATAGAATGAAATCAAAGGCGGCTTTTATGACCAATAATAAGCAATAAATGATGAACAATAAATAGAACACAATGAATGCAAGCAATAAATTAAGTAACGAACTCAAGAAAAAGTGTTAGAGAGAGAGAGAGAGAGAGAGTGTTCTTGTATATTTTTGGATGGAGCAACCGATAGATACATAATGATAGGGATCCCTTTATATAGGAGGGAAAACCCAACATAGTACTAATGCATTAATTACAAAAGATATGGAGATGGGACAGCTAGTTGAGGCCATGATTCGAATCTGAGCATAGCTCACTAGACTTTGTCAGCTCTAGATGTGCGCTTAGGGGACTCCCCACATTTTCATTATAACCGTTGGTCTGCACCGCCCCGTGATCGAGCGTCGGTAGGTGTCACGACCCGGATTTCCTACCCTCGGGGGTCGTGATGGCGCCTACTCGTAGAAGCTAGGCAAGCCACAAATCATAACTCCTAATTCCTTTTTTTTAAATCCTTTTTATCATTCATAACAACAAGCGATAAATATTTAAATAACATCGGAATATGAAATTAAAGCGGAAGACTTCAATTAAATAAGCTGAACAAAAAGCGGAAACCGACATGTGCCTCTACCCAAGAACTGGTGTCACAACATCCACGGACTACTAAAGTACTAAATACAATCGTTTGAAAGAAATATAACACTGTCTGTCTCGAAAACATGAGATAACAGAATGAAATATAAGATAGAGGAGACGCCGGGCCTGCGGACGCGTGCAAGGCTACCTCGGAGTCTCGATGGACTGATGACTGGCTCCCGAGCTACTGCTGCTGTCCGGTACCTGGATCTGTGCAAAAGAGCACAGAGTGTAGTATCAGCACAACCGACCCCATGTGCTGGTAAGTGCCTAGCCTAACCCCGGCGAAGTAGTGACGAGGCTAGACAGGACTACCACATAAACCTGTGCAGTTATATATATATATCTACAACGGGAAAATAGCAAGAACAAACATTTTAAATGGGAGGAAAACATGCTTCGGGGATAGCAGATATTACAGAATTTCAAGAATATAATAAAGGACATCAATAATTTAACTCTAACACGGATAAGAGAAATAAAAGCAGATTTCACTGTCAGTACATATCTCATTGCAGGCGTGCAACCCGATCCCGTTTCTCAGTAATTAAATTTTGTGGTAGGCGTACCACGCGCTCCCATTTCATTAAATCTCGTGGTAGGCGTACCACCCGCTCCCATTTCACAAATCTCGTGGTAGGCGTACCACCCGCTCCCATTTCATCATAACTCGTGGTAGGCGTACCACCCGCTCCCATTTCAATCAATAACTTGTGGTAGGCGTACCACCCGCTCCCATTTCAATCAATAACTTGTGGTAGGCGTACCACCCGCTCCCATTTCATCAATATCTTGTGGTAGGCGTACCACCCGCTCCCATTTCAAGTCAACACAAAGTCACAATAAAATTTCCGGCAAGGAACCAAAAGCAATATAATAATAATTTCCCAGCAAGGGAACAACAATATCAAAAACAACCATCCCGGCAAGGAAGAATCAGCTATAACCAAATCCTAGCTCAACTCTTACTCAGCTCGATTAATAGCAGTACTCAAGCATAAATAAAGTCCACGAGAGTAAACTAAATCTTTACACAATATCAAGAGTCATCAATTTAAAACATCCGAAGTGTCATTTAAGAACACAACAACTATCAATTTAAGACTCACGGTCATGCTCGACACCAACGTATAGATACTCGTCACCATGCCTATACGTCGTACTCAACAAGAAGCAAATAGCAAATAAGACTCAACTCCTAATCCCTCAAGCTAGGGTTAGACCAAACACTTACCTCGATGCCTTGAACACAACTCAAGTCTCAACTATAGCTTTACCCCTTGATTCCACCGCCAATTCGCTCGTATCTAATCACAAATTACTTAATTACATCAATAAACGCTAAATGAATCAACCCCAATGCATGAAAATGAGTTTTTCAAAGTTTTACCCAAAAAGTCAAAAATCACCCTCGGACCCACGTGGTCAAAACCCGAGGTTCGAACCAAAACCCGATTACCCATTCCCCCACGAACTCAAATATATAATTTGTTTTGAAATCGGACCTCAAATTGAGGCCCAAATCCCCAATTTTAGAAAAACCTAGGTTCTACCCAAAACACCCAATTTTTCCCTATGAAAAGCTTTGATTTGAAGTTGAAATCATGTTAAAAGGTGTTAAGGAGTGAAGAAAATGAGTTAGAAATCACTTACCAATGTTTTGGAGAAGAAAGGTTGTCTGAAAAATCGCCTCTTATGTTTTAGGGGTTTTGAAAAGTGAGAAATGACTGAAAATCCCGTTTATTTATACCCCTCTGAGACCCCTGTGGGACCGCATTAAATGGATCGCGGCCGCACAGGCTTACCTGAAGACCTGCAGTTCAGCACCCTGTGCGGACCGCACAAAGCCGACTGCGGCCGCACAGCCTTCATCGCGCCCCGCACAAAGGCGACCGCGGCCGCGCTGGCCCCTCCGCGGTCGCACGCGTTTTCTCGCGGACCGCATTAGAGGGTTTAGAGACCTGCAACTCCTGAACCTGCAACATCGAATTTTCTAAGCCTAAGGTATCCCGGAACCTACTCGAACCTCACCCGAGCCCTCGGAACTCCAAACCAAGAATACACACGACCTCAAAAACATCCTACGAACATATTCGCGTAATCAAATAACCAATATAACATCATGAACATCGAACTAAACCTCAAGATCAATGAAATTTCTCAAAACTCCTTTAAACATCCATTTTCGCAATTTAGGTCCGAATCACGTCAAACGGACTCCGTTCCTTACCAAACTTCAGAGGAAGGACTTAAAACATATATAAGACCTGTACCGGACGCCGGAACCAAAATACGGGCCCGATACCCTCGCTTTCTAATCAGATTTCATTTCCAATTTTCTTAAACATTTCTAGAAAACAATTTTTCTAAAAAAATTCATTTCTCGGGCTTGGGACCTCGGAATTCGATTCCGGGCATACGCCCAAGTCCCATATTTTCCTACGGACCCTCCGGGACCGTCAAATCACGGGTCCGGGTCCGTTTACCCAAAACGTTGATCGAAGTCAAATTAACTCATAATCAAAATTTATCATTTTTTCCACAAATTTTTATATTTAAGCTTTCCGGCTACGCGTTCGGACTGTGCACGCAAACCGAGGCGACTCTAAATGAGGTTTTCAAGGCCTCGGAGACACAAAACTCAATTAAAAACAAAGGGTCATCACATTCTCCACCTCTAAAACAACCGTTCGTCCTCGAACGGACAGAAGAAGGAAGTACCTGAGTCGGGGAAAAGATGAGNGGCACACCATGAAGGCGAACAATCTCCCGAATATAGATCTCAGCTAACCTCTCGGATGAATAGGAGACTGCCACAGGAATGAAATGTGCTGACTTGGTCAGCCTATCAACAATGATCCAAACTGCGTCGAACTTCTTCCGAGTCAGCGGAAGTCCAGTAACAAATTCCATAATGATCCGCTCCCACTTCCACTCGGGGATCTCAATCCTCTGAAATACACCACCAGGCCTCTGATGCTCGTACTTAACCTGCTGACAATTCAAACAACGAGCCACATATGCTACGATATCCTTCTTCATTATACGCCACCAATAATGCTGCCGCAAATTCTGATACATCTTCGTGGCGCCCGGATGAATAGAGTACCG